TTTAAATGAATAAAATTAATAAGAATTAACCACAATAACCAAAAATGTATCAATCACTTAAAAACTCATAATTTTCTAACACTGGATTTTTTCATAAAAGTTACTACCTCCTTCCGACTTGATGTTGAATTCTGAGACGCCCTATATCATTTTTTAAGATTTTATACTTCTGAACTAGATGTCGCCTTTCAAAGTTCCTAAAGAAGGGTACATCCCGTATCCAAAATCAAAAAAAATTGGTACCAAACCTTTAATAATGTTAGAAAATTCATGTCTTTAACTGACACAATTGTGGTTAGAGGGAATAAAGATAATGTGAATTTCTATCGAGGTTTGATAAAATATGCGGGTAAATTCGAGGGTCAGTGAATTAGATTTTGCACTTGACTTTCGTATTATTATTTTTGCGAAGCCCTTGGTAATATACCTATTAAATTAATACCTATGTTATATCGAGATGCACTTGCGAAGGTCGCGCGATCGAACCGGGCGCCTCGACGGGCCTGTAATCGCATTAATAACATTAAATTGATCCAAACACACGGTCATTCATACTATACATAGATATAAATATATTATGATGTTATTTTTATGAAGTACTTGGATATTATCATGTATTCCATACAATATTTATCAGGCACGCCATAAATTAAAACTTTCTGATCGCACGGAAAAATAGACATTTTCACAGTTGTTAGTTCCAAGAAACAAGTATAACATAGCGTTGCCATAACAACGCAGAATTGGTCCCTATGTCTATTTATCAAGAGGCCCATAACCTTGACCATTATTGACTCCTGTCATCTGACATTGGACAATATTGCTTAACAATTTTATTCAATAATTTTTGTTTGCCTGTACTAATTCTAAGAACTAGTGGGGCGCGTGGCATCGTGCCTTAAGGCAAATTGCTGGAACTTCCCGTACCAAAAATTATTTTTTTTTAGAAAGATTAACATTTTTAAAAAAAAATTACTCTGAAAAAATTAGATTTTTGAGAAACTATAAATTTTTGACAAAAATTTACTTTTTTTTGAAAAAAAGACTTTTTGAAGAAAAATTTATTTTGAAATATTTTGGAAATTCTGAACTTTTTTTCAAAACAATCGTACTGTTTTAACTGCATAGAGACGAAATATCGAAGCGCGTAAGCGCCGCGTTGCCGTCTAACATATGAACATTGGTACGGAACCCATAGGAATGTAGACAAAATTTATACTTATTGTTAAAATCTCTATAAAATATCTGATAATTTGATGTGCATATGTCTAATGATCATTTTTGACTGCCAGATGACTTTTTATTTTACTTTTTTTACTAGATCTCCGAAACCGCTAGACCTGCCTTCATGAAAATTTGATCAGTTCTTCATCTTGTTAATACAATTAACATGTTTTTTTAATTATTCAAATCGGACGCTCCGTTCTTTAAAACTAAGTTACCGTTTTTGGAACTTTTTGCCCCATATCTTTGGAACGGCTAGACCTGCCTTCGCCAAAAACTAATCAGCACGTCTCTTTGTCAATACGAATCGAATGTTTTTTGAATTATTCAAATCGCTTCATCCGTGTTCCCGAAATCGTCGACGAAAATTTGTATCCGCACACACACACATACACGCACACACACATACACACACACACCTACATCCATTTTTTCTAAGGTATGCCAAAATGTTCAGATGGTTTTGAAACATAAAACTATATGAAAATTTTCATTTTCGATTATTTTGCGATTACTATAACTTGCCCTATGGGAAGTTAATAAATGAATTCTTTAATTCTTTAATAAAATTCTTTAACAAAGTTATTTTCTAATCAAAGTGAAATACCTAAAATACTCTCATGTCGTGCTAGATTTTTTCGCATTTAATATTTTTCCAAGAGGCCTTCACGTCACGTACAGACCGCAAGCGCGTTTATTTATTATGTCCATATTTAATTATTATGTAATCATGTGAAATAATGCACATGAAGCAGAACTTAATAAGAATGCACTTTTTCATTAGACATAGAGTTGCATATATGCATCACATTATAATAAGGTCAACATGGTTAGAAGGTATGATGAATAGAAATATGTGGTAGGTGTATTGGATGAAAAGTTGTAAATACCAGATGGCGATGGTATTTTTTTATTTTTTTGCTAAACCACATGTATATTTTTGTTTAGTTGTTATAATTATTAAGATCTTTTTTTTTTAATTTAATTTTATTCGGTCTTCTGGTTCTAAATTTCTAATTCATTTTTTTTTTTAAATTATATCAAGCAGTATGAAATTAAGTCAACTTTTTACTTTATGTTAAAGATCTCAAATATATCAAGGAAAAATCGCATTTCGTGGACATTGTTGCATACAAACATGAAATGATAATGTGCTATTATGTATAGTCATGTTCCTCATATTAAATTTTCATATCCTCCTGCTTGATACAGAGCTGTCCGATATTGGAATCGAACTAGGGATTTTTAAACTCTTCGGTACTACAACTAGTATCTGCTCGTGAGATAAAAATTTATCCATTATTATTTATTTTTTAAGATTGTTTTTAAAATGTTTGCTATTCAAATATTATTAATGAACTCATTTGTCAGAAATTACACTTATTTTTAAAATGAGAGTGCATGCCGAAACAATTTAAAAACTTCAGCAGACGCATCATAAATGAATTTTTTTTACCATTTTGTTTTGGATTATTCGATAATATGATTCATTCTCAGAATTTATTGTTATATGTACAAGGTGTCCCAGATCTCAACGTCAAGCCGAAACGGAGAAAGTATTGGTTTTAAATATCATGAAAAAAATTAGAAAAAAATATCTTTTTAATTTTTCTTCTCAAACTTCTAGTTTGAAAATGATAAGCTTTTAAGTGCAAACTCGAACTTTGGTGGAAATGTGACCATTTTTTGGTTAACGTGGTTAATTCTTATTAAATTTATTCATTTAAACTTTGGATTCGTAATCGTGAATGACATTTCTAGGACCACAGTCAAAAATAATTGTACAATTGCCACAAGTTTTCAAGAATTAAGACTTTGAGCATTAAAAAGTGTTGGCATATACCATCAAAAGTTGGCGCATTTAATGGGGATTGTAAAATGATAAAATACTTGATAGTTTTATAATAAAAAAATTGGAGTAAAAAAATAAAAACCTACTTGGGAACACGCTGTATATATAAAATGTTTTTGGTTAGGAAAACAAAATCGAAATCTAACTGTGTAAGATTTCTATTGCTAAATTAATATAGCAATCGAAGCGGCAATGTATTTATATATATATATATATATATATATATATATATATAAAATAATACATAAGGTTTATTCTTATAAGAATCACGCGATATTCTAATTGGACTGCATCGCGTAATGTCTTGGCTTACGCTTCTATGAACATAAGATATTCAAAATATTTTCTTTATTTATTTTATTTAATTTCTAGGTAAATTTAATTGTCATTATTAAGAAGAGAAAAAGACTTAAAAAAATATTAAGGACGTGTACAAAATTCTAAACGACTAAACTTAATATATTTCTTACCCCCATTAACTTCTGTATTTCTTAGGACTCATCTTGGCCCAAAAACGACTTAACCATTTGCACAGACGACGGAATTAACAAACTAGTGGTGTATGGCATCGTGCCTTAAGGCAAATTGCTGGAACTTCCCGTACCGTAATGAAATATTCGAGAAATTTTGAACGTTTTCAAATATATTATTACAAATACTGTAACTTTCATTATTTTTGCTATCTTGTTATATCCGAGCAAATCAAATGTAAATCATAAATCAATCAATTTATCTCCAAAACATTAACAATCGTCATTTCATTTCGAATTCAATTTCAAAAAAAAAGTTGCCTAATTTATACAAAATTGACAAAGTCTCCCGCATAGTCAGAGTCTAAACGCATTTGCAAATAATTCTGTGCGACATTTTCACTTATACTGTGCTTAGCTTGGTGGCATTTTCACATTTTCAATAGTTTTTTTTTTATTTTCACAAAATTGGAAAAGTGCTCCAATGGGCGCTTAGACTGTGATTAACCTAGGTAATTTTTCGAATTTTTAATCCAAAATTACAAAAATATTTTATGGAAAATAAAAAAAGATGTAATAATTTTTGATCCTCAAAAGCAATTGTTTTGTCAATACAAGCAGAAAGTTTTTTATATCATTCAAATCGGACGCTTAGTTCACGCAAAAACTGCCATTGTTTGCACATTTAGCTCTGTATCTCCGAAACCGCTGGGCCTGCCTTTGCCAAAAACTAATCATCGCTTCTCCCAATCATTACAAATTGAATGTTTTTTAGATTATTCAAATCCGACACTGCGTTCTCTCAAAAACTCGATTTGTATTTTCTGCACTCTTTGCTCCGTATCTCCGTAACGGCTGGACCTGCCTTTGCCAAAAACTAATCAGCACATCTCCCTATCAATAGGAATCGAATGTTTTTTGAACCATTCAAATCAATTGATACGAAACACACACCCATCCATTTTTTCTGAGGTATGCCAAAATGTTCAGAAACCTTCAATACGTCGAGAAATGCAAAAATTTTCATTTTCGATTTTTGGCCCATTACTATAACTACCCTACGGGAAGTTAAAAATAGTTTTGAAAATGTATTTTATCTCGATCAATTATTTAAATTTATCGGCAAATTAATGTTTCTAATTACCAACGCGTGTACTTAATTTATATTTCGCTGATCTTGTGCCAGTTTTCTACAAAACAAAAGCGCCAGTCTATTACAGTGGTATTATCATTATTTTTTAGCTAGAAGTACCTTGAACATGCACAAAATATCTCTTTTTAATTCTAAACAATTATGCATGCAAGGCGATAATAATAACAGAATATGCTGGCATAATGCGAACTTTCCACGTTATAGTAATAGACATATATTTATGTATATACTCGTAGTAATAAAAATTTAGACTATTAGACACTTGATCAGATGTGTAATTATTTCTTTTATAATTTTCCAGAAATCCAGAGTGGTTGCATATTGGGGCTACGACCCTCCGCCGCCTCCTCCACCATTACCACCAATGATGGGCGACTTTGTTGATGGTACAAAAAGAAAAAGTGGTAACAATTCGGGAGTAATACAGATTTTGGATAATACCATTACCAGTACGAGTACCGATGACCACAGAGGAGACGAACTTGTAACCGCCTTTAATAATGATGAAGATGAACAGGTATATAAATGATTTATCTTCTGTACGGGTGTATGAATTGATACTTCTCCTAAACGGTTATTCGGATTTTGATAAATCTTTCTAAAGTTTTTCAAGAGGATTTTTTTAAGTTTTAATGAAAGATAAAACTATAGTAATATTATAGAAATAAATGGCAAAAATTACAAAAAACAGCTCATCATTGTTTGACACTGAAAACATTTGAACTGTCATCTCCTAAAAATGTAAATTTACTTGAAATTTGAATTTAGTTGAATATTATGAGCCTAGATAATATTAGAATATAATTTACAAGAAAAATGTAATGTGTACATTATTATTGCCCAAAAGCAGCTGAGATGTGCCAGAAATTAAAATAATATAGGATACAGTCAACAGTATATATTGGCAGATGAAATTAAATAATTCAGTTTAATAAATAACGCAACAAGTCCAAAATTGCATAAACATTATTTTTTTAAACTTATGCGTTGTATTTTACAATTTTAAAATTATTTAACAATACAAAAAAATATTTTTACTTATTAAAAAAATGATTCAGAATTTTGTTTCACGTATCAAAAATTCATTTTTTTGGCATTGAATAAGGAATATTTAGCAGGTTGACTTTAGGTTGAATAGTGCACATATGAACTAGATTTTACAAATTAATTCATCTAAGATTTGAACATAAACAATTATGTTTATTAAATTATTAGTAAGAAAAATGTACTTTAGAAATTATAATTGCCAAAAAGCAACTAATATATCGCATCAAATAGGATATTAAAAAGTATAGGATAGGGTATTAAAAAACTTGAACCTTTTGAATTCTGTAGGGTACAGGACAACGTTTATCGGGTCATCTAGTTATTTTATATATTTTCCACGAAGACTGGTTCTTATAATTACAAAGTAAACAAAAACCAACGTACCTACATATTATAAACCTTTCACAAAATGAAGTAACACATATTTCAAAGCAATAACACGACCATTTCATAATTCTGCAATCGCAAACGCACGCTCTGCCTGATATAATATCAATATAAATCAACACCAGAAATTGAAATTCTGACATTCTTCAGAAAAAATATTTTTATAGCTTTAGAAAACCAGGAATAATGATGAGAAAGTTTGTGGAGCAATTGTGTTACCTAAAGGGATAGTTATGTAGATGCATAATGTATTTATTGAAATAAATTTATAAAGTATTTTGAGAGAAAGTTAGTCCATCATTTCCCCAAAAGGACGAATGTTTCTTCTATAACTAAATTTTGGAATTTTTATTTTATAAATTTCAACTTTCCTTTTTCAGATTCTAACAACAACAGTAATAGACACAAGCAAAGACAGCGTCTCAGTGATACGACAAAGTGACACATTAGAACGAAAATCAAATATTCCCTCCAAAAACACAAACACTGCCGAAAAATCCAAAAAACCCTCACGAAATTCGTCTAACCTGGATGAAAAACTAAGAAACAACCACCAAAAATCCAACAGATATTCAGAAGGAGTCCTGTACGATAAAAACAGCCTAGACAGAAGCACCCTGGATAAAAATAGAGACAGCAAAAACTTTCCTGGTGATGGTCAGAAAAGAACCAGCAAACATTTTGGTGGCAGTTTAGAACGAACAAACATCGTCCATATACCACGAGTATCGACTTTAGATAACCCAAAAAGTAGGAACTCGTCATCGACCTTGGAAAAACAAGGTAAAGATAGACTCCCTAGTAGTTCCAATTCAAGACAAAGAAATTCTGGAAGCAGCATTTCTTTTAACACATTAGAAAATCCAGATTCGAAACGATCTAGTCAACAAACAAATTATTCCAACAGAAATTCTACGGAGGTGTCGAAGCAAAGGTTATCAGCTGGTACTGATACTGTAGATTGTCCTGGTAAAAATTTAGTAAATGATAGATTAGGTGTTGAAACGTTGAAAAGACGTTCTGAAGGCAACTATGATAAACCAGCACAACCAAACAAGGAACAAACCAGAAATTCCTCAGCTTTGGAGAAAACTTACACCCAAAAACTGTCTTTGCAGAATACAGGTGATGGATTAAATTTGAAACCTGGACAAATCAATTTGACTGAAAGGGATTTGGAACCTTATTCCACAATCGAGAAGGACAGAAGAAAGATTGCTAGGAATTCTGGAAAGTACGAAAATGGTACTTTGGAACGTTTGAATTTTTATGATAATTTAAATAATTTAAACTCTGGCAGTAGTGATAAGAAAAGTTTGGTGGACGAGTATGATTATGATGTTATAAGTGGAGGTGCTGCTTTTGATTTAGAAGGAATTATAAATGAGGTAAGTAATAAAGAAGTATTAAATTTGCCATGTTTTGAGAGAAGATATGACTATTTTTCCCCTTTGCAGAGTTTTGCCCATCCTGCAATAAGGTACAACGGTTCTGGTCTCGGCACCAACCTAAGTAGCAGCAATTTGCTGCAGCAGTATGGAAGTTCGACATTACCCAACGTCAACCTGCTGCATGGCACCAATAGATCGAAAATTGATCGAAGCAATTCCATTATCGAGCAACGAATCAACACACTTGTTGATAGAGGAATCGACGCCCTTGGTAAAGAACATATCCATTCATTTTTTGACAAAATATAGGCCTTGTGGCCTACTTGATTTATTAACTTCCCGAAGGAAAAGTTTATGTTTACATAAAAAAATCCGATTCGCTAATTTTATGTTTTCTCCTGGACGTTTCTGGTCATTCTGAATCGAATGAGACCAACATTTGGAAAAAGTATGTGTGTGTGTGTGTGTGAATAGATTTTTTGCCGTTTTCTCAAAAACGATTCGACCGATTTCAAAAATTTAAAAGCCATTAGATGTATTTTGATGAGGACTAGCGTTTCCGAGTTCTGTGCGAAGATCGCCCGAGCTGTTTCTTTGTAAATGGCAGAAAAGTGAAACATTTTTCGTCCACGTTTTAGCCCGCAATTCTGAATCTGATTTTGAAAATTCGAAAACTGTTCGAATGATATTGGTTGGGAATTGTGCTGATTCCCAACGGCCGGGGGTAAAGATCGGCCGGGCCGTTTTCTTGTAATAAAAGGTTAAAAAATTTTTTTTCGACGATTTTTATTATTATTATTTTGACGGTAGGTCAATAGTCTTCTAGATCATACTAAAATATTAAGGCCCTACTGCAACTCGTTTAGCTTTAAAAATTCGTCAAAGTTTGAAAAAATTAGTATCGTTCTTTTGGCATTTGTCAAAATTAGACCTTTTATCGCCGTTTTCTCAAAAACGCCTGAACCGATTTCAGAAATTTAAAAGCCATTTGATGTATCTTGACGAGGACTATTGTTCGTCAGTTTTGTGCGACGATCTGCCAAGCCGTTTCTTTGTAATTTGAATAAAAGTGTTAAACCTTTCGTCCACATCCAAGCTCAACTACCGAACCGATTTTAAAAAATCAAAAACTGTTCGAAAGATATTAGTTGGGAATGATACTGATTAGTTTTAGGTGAAAATTTACCGTTTTCCGTGTAATTAACTGTTGAAAAAAAAATTAAGCGGATTTTTATGGAACTTTTTTTGGCGATATATATCATGGTCTTATAGAACTTACTGAAATATTGCGGCCTTACGACAAGCAGTTTAATTTAAAAAATTCATCAAAGTTTGAGAAAATGAGTAGTTTTTTTGACGTTTGTTAAAATTAAAATTAGACGATTTACTTGGTATAACGATAGAGTACCTGATCTTAATGAACATACTAAACCATTAAAGTCCTACGGAAACTGGTTCCATTATAAAAATTATTGATTTTTGAAAATTTGCTTTTAGTAAATACTCCGAGTTAACGTCGTTCGTTTTCAATGATGTGTAATAAATCCACTTCAAATACTTTTAATCACTCATAAATTAATTTATTTTTTATTGATTAAGTCGATTATTTACACATATCGGGAAGTTCATGTAACTTGCCTCAAGGCAAAATACCAATACCAACTAGTTTTTCTAGTTACTTATGTAGTTGATATTTTGAGCAACTGCAATATCATACACTCCTGGTTCAATCATGAGTCAATAATCAATTTTTTCTATTTTTTATCAGAACCAAGTCCTATTCCTTCCCGGAGTACTCTGGCCACCGATACCACCAGCGCCAGTTGCTCTGGAGCGAGTGGAAGTGCCATCGACAGCTGTCCCCGTACAACAGCTGTCAGCAGCAGCTGCAACAGCAGCAAAATTGGAGCTGCAGTCAGCAGCAGCGGCGACAGGGATAGTGTTTATGGAGGATCAACGTTGAGGCTTTGTCCTGATAGGAGGAAACAGAGCGATTACATGACTTCAAGTGCAGCTAGCGATTTCGAGAAAAAGGTTAGTGGGAGATAGAAGAAACTATTCATTTTTTTTTTGTGACATTTTTGACGTCTTAGCATTGGATGTTTAGATCTCAGTGCCTGGTGCCAATTATAAAATCATAACTGTGTAAAAGTTATAATATAATACTAAATATTTTTTATCTGGTTGTATACTATTGAAAGAGCTCATTTACAAACGTTCATTTATAAACGTTATCGTATACGGAATATAGAATACAAAATAGCATTATTTTGAGACATTATATATCTGGAAAGTCCTAAAACTGGCTGTGAGACGAGAAAAAGACCACTTTTTTATCCAAATCTTTTGTAATAGTAAAAATTTTAAGCAAATATCTGCACATGTTAACAGATTTAGTATCAGCTTAGGGAAGTCGGATATGACAAAACCTGTGAGACAACTCCACTCGGTTTCACTCCGAGTGAGGAGTTGTATCGGAGTGATAACTCCGGAGCGAGTTACCCATCTCTAATGTTTCAACGATTTCGCATAATTCATTTTTGTATTTTTGTATATAAACGTAATATTTGTTCAAATAGTTTTGAGAGCGGAGCCATCTACCTCGCATATCTGGAGAAAATTTTAATTTACCAACTTTAAATTTTTGTCACAATTTTAGTGAACTTAAAAAGCGCAGGGAGAGGGGTATATATTTTGCATCATTTGTGAAAAAATCAGAAAATTCACAAATAGATGATAGTATAAATAAATATTGTTTTAAGTTCTTTTAATGTTTTTTTAACTTCTCATGGGGCAAGTTATAGTTATCACAAAAAAATCGAAAATGAAAATTTTTATATATCTTTACGTTTCAGAGGTTTCTGAATATTTTGGCATACCTTAGAAAAAATGGATGTATGTGTGTGTATATGTGTATGTGTGTGTGCGGATACAAATTTTGGAAAAACATTCGATTCGTATTTATAAGGAGACGTGCTTATTAGTTTTTGGCGAAGGCAGGTCCAGTCATTCCGAAGATATGGGTGCCAAAAACAGTAACTCAGTTTTTAAGAGAACGGAGCGTCCGATTTTAATAATTCCAAAAGCATTTAACTTGTATCAACAAGATAAAGAACTGATCAAATTTTCATGAAGGCAGGTCTAGCGGTTTCGGAGGTCTAGTAAAAAAAGTAAAAAAAATGCCATTTGGCGGTCAAAAATGATCATTAGACATATGCACATAAAATTATCAGATATTTTATAGAGATTTTAACAACAAGTATAAATTTTATTTACATTCCTATGGGAGCCGTACCAATGTTTATCCGTTAGACGGCGACGCGGCGCTTACGCGCTTCGATATTTCGTCTCTATGCAGTTAAAGCAGTACGAGTAAAGTATTTTTTTTCAACAAAAGTAAATTTTTGACAAAAATATATAGTTTCTCAAAAATCTAATTTTTCCAGAGTAAATTTTTTCAAAAATGTTAATATTTAAAAAAAAAAATTTTGGTACGGGAAGTTCCAGCAATTTGCTTTATGTCGCGATGCCATGCGCCCCACTAGTTATTTTGAATTTGATTGATTTTTTTGGAAAATCTTCACTTTTCTTAAGGAGGAGGCCCCAAAAACTTTGATTTGGGTCCTGCCAAGGCACGCTAGGACTCTAATATATATAG